CAATATAGTTAGCTGTTGAGCAGAAATGTGAACTGCATGACTAGAAAAAAATATTGTAATAACATTTTCACTTTTCGACAGTATCACTTTACTTATGAATGAATAACATTTTGAATAAAACTTTCATTTATTGCAGTTTGAATTCATATTTCTACATTATTTTCCAATGAAACTCACGTTAATGAAAAACATGTTTGCCTGTAGAGGTGAATATATTTTGTTTACTTATGGTATGAATTTATCAGTTTGTAAGCAAATAGTTTTAATGGTCAGTACATAAATAAATATAACAGTGGTTATTTCAATTCCATTAATCTATACATTTTATAAGGTTGCAAATGATTATAATTAAGTATGGACAAAATCGTGTATATAGGGACAATAATAAAGACTTATTTCAACTTAACACATTTTAAATACATATAAGTTTTTAATTATAATAACTATTGTGAGACATTTTTTAATGGGACAAGCCCGCCACAACCTCCCAAAACCGCTGGCAAGTCGTCTTGTAAGCCACGTTCTACAGTAGATACAACCACGAAAACACCGGAATACTAAAGTCCGGCGCGTCTCAGGGATATGAATAACTGTCTTGGTTCCCGCAACAAAGTGAATCAGAAGATGTTATTAGAGGAGAAGAAACGATAGTTTCCATTTCTCTCGGTGAATTACTGAAGGCACAAAAAGGAGGCTGTCCAACTGGGTGGAGCCCAGTCGCCAAGCACCACGGAAACTTAACTAACAACTAAGTGGATCCTATATCGTGGGTACTGTCGTGAGACATAAAGAACTAACTAAATATTTACGAGTTGCTCAAAAAGCTGAGATATACCTTAGTTTCGAGTTACAGACGGTTGCGCGACATCGCCGCAACTGCGCACGCTGCTCATGAGGAAAAGCCCCTCTATGACTCGGAACAAGTAGAATTTTTCTCAGTATATTCACGGAAGTAACCCGTAAATCAAAAATTAGTTAGATATCTCAGGTTAGGTTTATAGTAATAGGTGACTATGACTATTACAGGGAGCCGATAACACTATTAGGTAAGATACCCCCCCATCTACCTTTGGATAGTAACTATGTTAAGAATCACACGAAGATTTTGAATAGAAAATGTATTGATATAACATGTTCACAACGAATAAATGCTAAGAACTGTTCGCATATTACGAGTACGACGCATTGAAAAGTACTTCCATTTATATTAATTCACAATACACGACTGAAAGTGGTACACCCGTTTACATAATTGCCACATGGATAGCTATGTATGGACTCTATTATTATTGGCATACGGGCTATCGTAAATCGATCAACAATACCTGTGCTGCCTATTGTGATACCATTCAACAGGGCACGGCATTATATGAATAAGTACAAAATATTTAACGTACTCGTGGTTAAATTTTCGTCATAAATATTTTAGGTAAAACTTTATATTTATTCGCAACTGCGATTGCCTGGCTAGGGGTCTCGGGTTCGATACCCGGGCAGGGCAAAGAATTACTGGGCTTTTTAAAAAAAATCTCAGTAGTAGCACGGAGTCAGGAATTGCACCCAGTATATGGTATTAGGCTAGTACATAAGGCTCATAACATAAATAGTTAAAAGTGGGTGTTACATTGTACAGTGACATAATGTGCACCACTGCCTACCCCTTTGAGGATAAAAGGCGTGATACCTATGTTAATATGTTATGTTTATATTTATTGTCCAGGTAATTTGTTACCTTAATAGGCGTCTCAATGTTAACACATATATGATGTATACACCCATATAACTGGTAAAGAGAGTTCTAAAGTATCCGAGTACCTATACACTGCCATGCCTACGAGGTATCTATAAAAAATATGCAAAAGAAAAAATAATCCCAGAAACTAAAATTCGGGCTGCATAGTTACATTTAGAAAACTAGTAATAGCATACTTGAAAAAGCTCTAGCTAACCGTAGCTATCTATGCGTAGGTATGTCTAGTAACTGAAGGTGACCTTTGTCGAACTATGTTGAAACAGTTAATATAAATTAATATTCATACTACGTTTACTAAAGCTAAATAGTAAACAAACTTATGTTATCAATTCACATTTAAAATAAATATAATTTATAGTAGGGGAGCCCCTGAAAGGATTTCGGTAGTTACTAGAGTGCGTCAGATTAACATATGGGGAATATCTAGCATCCTGTTGGATATGCCCACCATAAACCCAAACGGATTCGATGGGAGGACAAAAAAATAAGAAAAAAAAACAAACTTACTAACTAAAACTACAGCCAGTTTTGTCAGATTAAGAGAAGAGAGATAAACCACATACTTAATGAAATGCATTTAAAAATTCTGCTCATTTGAGCATGATTTGTAAGAGTGGAAGGGTTTTAAAGGATTCTAGTTTGTATACAACATCCCGAACATTCAACTCCACCATGCAAATCGGCAGTTTTTTTTTTAGTATCAGAGGCATCAAGTATGTACACTATCAATATTTGACACGCTCGACTACTAAAAGAAAAGTAGTACTAGCAAAAATGTTAAATATCTGTGGTTTCCTCCACTAGTGGAATGTGGTTGAACCATTTTTTCTTTCTATCACCATAATTATCTTCAAAATCTAGGTAGGTCCCTACGACTCTCGAATAAAACCAAATTCAGCATCGTGGACTCCTCTACTATTACTAAGAACTCTGCTAACAGACAAACAGTAATAACAATTGTTAATAGTTTTGCGTCAAGTGAAACCAAAATTATTCGCTAGTTTGGTAGGATTATTATGTTTGCAGAAGTCGCCATCATGACGTAAGGTTCAGTTATTGAAATTCTGGGCTCACAAACTGAGATCAGGCTTGCACGAAGATTGTGAAATTAAGTAGTCCTTCAGACTTGTTTGTTGGAGACGCTAATTTATTTTAATTGCTTCCCAGACTAATTTGTCCGGCCACCATTTCTTTTCATTGGTGCCCTTAATTGTGATCTCCCGTCCAAAAATTTCAAGGCGAAATTTCTTTCAAAATGCCCAGAGCTATAAATATTTAATGCGGAATTTATTTACGGCCAACATGTCCCTACTTGGCGTTTGTTTTTTAATATAATGAAATTTCCATTAAAAGGAAATTATGAGGGAGGCAGGGATGAAGCTGGGCAACATTAATTGGGAGTCGTTCTTCATAGATATTGTTTTGAGTATCAAGTTGCTATCGTTATAAAAGTTGCTTAATTGATACAGTATAAATTGAAATAATTAGCTCTCCGGTCAACCACAGAGGCCATATATTTCGATACTTTGTATTGGATAGTACGTAGGTATAATGAACTTCAGCACGTTGTTACAAGCATCATCAAAACTATGAATAAAAATGAATTCTGATCGTTTACATTTTTGTCTACTTTTAGATTTTTATACAGATTAAAGTGACTGAGTCTACAGCATCTAATTAACATAGATACCAAATTATTATGTTAATCAAGAAATCCCGGACTACTAATCACATCCCTTTTTACATACTCGCCCCAGTAATTAAGTTGAGACCACATACATATATATTATGCACACAAAACTAACATTTTGAAAGCAAAATGTTACATGCTAAAAGGATAGGGTATATTCCTGCCAAAGGTTTAGAAACCCTACTTAAATTCACAGCTAAATATGTATAAGAAATTAAGTATAAAACATGTTTGCTCAGTTCTGGGTTGACTATTTAATTCCAAAAGGTTGAACCCACAATTAGGTAAATTAACAAAAGTCTCCGATTTCATGTTTTCGTCTTCCTCTTTTGTATATTTTATGTGAATTCTTAGTCAGCCATGTAATGTGGGAGTAGACTAATTTAACAAAAACACACTGATGTAATTTATTTACATTTTCCACAAATTTTCACTTAAACAGCCTTTCGTGGAATACGACTAAACTAAACATCGTTCGCGTTCCCTCTCGTTCACACGTGAAGTCATTTGAGACTCAAAATTTCAAAGGATTCATAAGTATAGACCCACATTTTTCTCCTGTTGAAGTGTGAATTTTTGAATTATGTGAAAGTTTTTCACCCATTTTAAGTCGCTCGGCGTAATACCGTTTGCAATATGTTTTAGGTAACAGAATATCTCCGTAAAAGTTTGGTGACAAAAAGTCTATCTAAAAAAGTAATAGCCTAGGAACACATTTAACGACTTTTAGGTCCCGATTATGTAGTACGCACGTTCACTTTACTCGTCCCACGTACGAACGTGAGTAGAATGAAGATCATAAAAGAATAGGCAAGTAAAGCTAAATTGATTTCACAGTTTAAGAAAGTAGTGAAAAAGTTGTTTTGGCTTTTTTGGATTCAACAACGATTTGCTTCCTGAAAATCATGCGAGTGGCATTCAAAGTAATAATGCCGTTTTGACTTTGGAATGAGACATAGATTAAGTATCATTTCGCAAAACTCAAATATTCTATACTATTTTAATTCATATAGGTCTTGGTTATATAAAATAATAACTGTGTTGTGTATCCTTATTAATTAATTTCAGTAGACAGTCAGCCTGAAACCAGATTCGATGTTTTAAAACAATCGCTTCAGCAAAACGTTCTGAAATTTTCTTCCTTGCGATCAAAACTGTACCTAGGGTTTGTAGCGATACTGCTACTGAGAGCAATAAATCTCCGGTTGCCGATGTTAATAGTGGCGTGTTTGCTAGGGAACTGCTATTGATAAATACAAAGTTACAATCGAACTGATTGTATCTACTAGAAATTGGCTATAAAATGATATAGAGGTAGTTTGTTTATTTGTTGAGTATTATTTAAAGAGTCATGTGACTGAATTCCAATTAAGAGGGTTAAAAAGGAAAAGATAACGTTTGATAGAGCAAAATAAAAAAAATACATAGGCTTTCTTAAATTACACAGTATGCGTAAAAAATGTAGGGTCCCTAATAAAAAATCACTGACATTAATTTTAAAGAAATATTGAACAAACATTACATAATTATTGTTAAACTATTTGATGAAGTACTGACCTTTCTCTTAGCTCTGACGACTTGCATCTGATGATGAGTACACTCGCCGATTGCTCGGCCTCTCAAAGCGGCACTCATTCGAGCGTACGCCCAAACCATCACCGACATAGGCACCACGTACGTCACAGCCAAAAATAATAGGTTATACCTGCAAAAAAACTCCTATTGATTACATAGGTCATAAAATTTAATAGGTGACTAAGTCGACTGCTCGGTTGGCGCGACGGCTGGGCTGCCGCGTAACGTGTCGCGAATTCGATCCCCGCACGGAACAACACTTTTAGTGATCCACAGGTTGTTGTTCCGAGTCTGGGTCTGATGTGTATGTGAACTTTATGTTCGTAAACGCACCCACGATATAGAAGAAAATCCTAGTATGGGGCAGTTTTAATAAAAATAGTACAAAAAGATAATAAATAATTGACATCAATCAATCGTATACCGCACGAATAATATCAAAAACAACCTAAGTAAAGAGATTTAGATATGATTTTTTTTATTTGTATAGTATACAAATAAAAAAACATTAGCTTTTTATCTAAGCAAAATACAGGTTAGAACCACGTTGTGTGACTACCTATAACTACTGTATTGAAAGTGTTTATTATGCTTATCCCGATTGAATTCTCGTCAGACAAAATTGCTAACAAAAATGCATCGACAAGAAAATAAAAACACTAAAACAATCTTTGTACCGAACCGAACAACGTAATAGTAGGTCGGTAAAAACCAATTTTACCGCGTAATAGAAGCAACGTGGGAGGATTAATCTTTTTTAAAACAATAACAAGACTGGCAGAACCACAGAGTTTCATGAAATGCTATTTATGAACAAAATCGATTAAAACTTCGTTGATGCGCCCCTGAATTGTTAGACTTGCTAATAAAATATCAAGCACATTTCATAATAGGACGCTAACCAGTTTGCTATGAGCAATTTTAAAAGTTCTCCAGATTAATTTTATCGGTTAATTAGTTTTAATGTTAGCATATTCAAAACTAAGGTTTGAAGGGTAATCGTTATTGTCTTTTAGGTATTTGAATAAGTACTTAATTCTATCATTGAATAATGAATAAGAATCCCACAATTTATATTTAATAATTTCTTAAAAAGTATACTTACAAAATCTGAACTAGAGAATGAGCAATTGGATACTTTCATTTATTATTAAACTGCTTGCTATTAAAGTCCATTTTACTGGTCGAGTGTAGTTGAATAGTTTAATAATTCAATTTAGAAAACCTCATTAGAAATATAATCTGTGTTAGTGTTCAGTTCATAGCAGTATGTGTAGGTTTGCCCAAGTAATTTCATAATTGGTGAATATTAAGTTAGGTACTGTTTGTGTATTTATATTGTCTAACTAGCCTTAAAGTTTTATACAATCTAAGATGATGATAAATTCGTCTACTTATCATAACTTCAGTGTCAACAATACATATTTTAATTTAATTCAAAATCATTTTCTTTTAACCTTCTCTTGTCTTGAACACACATTCTCAGACCAGATTCAATTTACGGAGACTAGAAAAAGGCTATTTTCTTACTAGATAAAACTTCTACCCTTGAAAAGAGGTCCGAGTCTCAAAATCAATATACAGTTCGATTCTGTCAACATTTTTTCGATAAAAGAGAATCGTGTGCCTAGAATCAAAAATCCCAGCGTCATTTTGGATTCGGCTGTGGCTAGGTTACAAGGCACGATTCTTTAATTCACTGAATATCTTTCCTTGCGTATCTGCCCTGGGTTTAAAAAAGGTCTATTTATTTACGACCAAAAGATTCAATGTACTGACGCAGGTACTTTTTCTACTGTTAAAGGGATATTATCGCGGCCTCTGAACCCTAATAAAATGTTTATTTATTGTTAGTACGTAACCAATTTAAATTGGATACAGTGGGCAACAAAACTTAGTTATTATGGTCCCAAAATTGGCTAGCTGATTTCCACAATGTTCCTAACTTTACATCTAGTACAAAAAACTTTGTTTGTTTTCAATAGGAAAATTGAACAGTTAAAACAAATGATGGTCTCTTGATTTTTCCTTATTAATATAAAAATCAGGAACTTTTCCCCTCAGTATGTAAATTACTTCATTAATGTAATAAAGTTTCCTTCGTCCTACATTAATGTCTTCAACGAGAATGGAAAAACAATGATAATGATCTTGTGACCCACTTACGTGAAAATATTCTGCAAAAGTTACATAATATTATGACATAGATTTCTACTTACACATAATCAGTTCTCGATGATGGATAACTGCCGTCGGGCCATTTAATAAAACATATTTCTCTGTCACCGTTCACATATCTGTAACAAAAAAGATTGTATTATTGCAATGACTTAAAATTCCCATAAATATCTCTTAACTAGTTCGTAGTAAACTCAATCATTCTCATCTCCCTTACCTCGAGGTATACTCAAGCGTTGAGTTTCTAGCTAAGATTTTATACCTGGCCGTACTATTTCAACCGCAAACTTCAGTTTGAACAGAAATACCATTAAATTGAAAACTAGTATTCCAAGAAACAAACAAGTACTAAACAAAGCAAATAAAATGACAGACTTGATTTATATCGAGGAAAACAGAATAAAAATAACAAACTTCAAAATCAATTTGAATTCTGTGGACAGCACATCAAACATCTATGGAAAAGCTATAAAGCTGTAATAGCATCTAGAGTAGTAACATGTTAAATGTCACGAGCAACGACCTCAGCATCCCCAGGTTTGTTTACAATCAAAACTTTTAAACGCATCGGTACGCCCTGCGGCGCACAAATGTACCATTTACCCTGTTTTACGGTACAACTTCAACTATTTTACTTTATTTTATATCCTTTACTGACAGGTGTTCAACTAAAGGGAAAATTATGGGGTTGCTGGTTCCCAAATAAAATTAGAATTATGTTATCCTTTGTCCTGGCCTTTTCCAAATGTTTTCGGGTTATCTATGTGTAGCTGTCTACTTATTCGGGTTTCACTTGATTGTCAGCGCTTTGCGTGGATTTATTTATCTTCTGACCTCTACAAAACTAAATCTCAATTTCGAATATACGTTACTCTCTACACACTCTTTGTTAGATCCAATTTAGTCTGCGTACCATTTTTGTTAGTTCAGATTCAGATATAATAAAATCGTTTGTGTTATTTTCATGAAACCGACTTTTATATGACATATCGGGTTCGATCTAAGGAAGGTCTTTCGATTAAAATATACCTCTATAGTAAGTGTCTTACTACTTTAGTTATTTGCAATTTCAATTCAATGTATCAATTATTGCATCTGCAACTACAACAAATAATCAGGTCATTACTTTGTGTCGAGAGTAAAAGCGTAGACATAAAAAATAAATTCTATGTTAACGACAATAGAAGCTATAATAGTTTTATTCTTCGGATAACGAGTTTACTGACTTTGGGAGATACGAGTGACGGTGTTTATTAACAAAGAAAACTTTTTCCAAAGTCCCATACCTACGTTTTCATTCAATTTCTTTGAAACAAGAAACTTTCAAAGAATCGAAAGAAACATTCACTGGTTTATTGATGTATTAAATTGAAAATTACTCACAATTTCAACTAGTGTTTGTTGCTTAAACAGCAATTAAAACTTTTAACAAGGTATTTGAACATCGTTAAAACTGAATTCTAATATTTTACAATTTTGTACGAAGGGTAGAGGTGTAATATGAACCTATTAAATTATTTTGAGTGGCAGTAGGGGTAATAATACAAACTGGTATTTTTTACTGTCTGATTTTTTGTATAGATATTGATTTATAATAACAATAAATTCAATAAGCATAATAATCAATATCATCAATAGCCTAAAAGTAGCCACTGCTGACCAAACATCGCACCAAGCACGGTTGGAGCGGTGGCTGGGTAACCAGCTGCCGCGTAACGTGTAACGGGTTCTAATCCCGCACGGCGCAACTCTTTGTGTGATTCACAAATCGTTGTTTCTAGTCTGGGTGTCATGTGTACGTGAACTTTTGAAAACGCACTCAGGACAGTGAAGAAAATCCTAATGTAGGCAACATTTTATAAAAACAAAAATAAGGTCTCTTCTCACACGGAGAAGGTATGACCAGTAATCGCGCTTGATTAATGCAGGTAGTCAATTTCAAACTCATAATTAGGATAAGCCTAGGTTTCCTCACGATGTTTCCCTTCGCTGAAATTATAAGTACAATAAGGTTTAATAATAATATTTGAGACTACTTTATTCGCTAAAGTTGTTACCTATGAGACACATTAGCATTATTTAGTATTTATAAGCACAACTGCTGAGCGAGGGATGGTCCCCTGTCACTAACTACTAAGCCTGACGCAAAGCGTTATCGAGACCCTATTTCATAACTCTCAATAGGGTCTCAGATCAATATTCAAAGTCTGATTAATGACTAGAGCTTTGCGTATAAGAAACTACACTTATTCAGCAAAATACATAATGTATCTAATATAAAGTTTTAATCGACATCAACCGCCTGTTAGTGTTGCTTTTATGAGGGGTCATCCATTGACTTCTCCGACCTTGCATGACGCGGAGCGGTTTTTAGTCAATAAGAGTCCGATACTCCCTATCAGACTCTTATTGACTAAAAACCGCTCCGTCCCTACTACTGCTTCGAGTCGAGCTGGTGATCTTATAACCTACTAGATCGTCCACAGCTCTGGAGAGCCTACTGCTGGATTTTGGAACTCTCTCATATGAGAGGGTTTGCTCTTCAGGTTTGCTAATCTCCAAAGTTGGCGAGTTGAAGACCATAGTTTCAAAGAATCAGGTTTACATATGTAGCCCTCTGTCGCTTCTGACTGCACCCAAACGAAGAGAAGTGGTATAATACTACTCTGTCGTCACAGGGCAAAGTTTAAATAATTATTATACTAAAATCTCAACTGAAAAACTTTTCTGTGTAAATAGTTCGTCTGCAAGTAATTTTCTTATGTAAAGTAACCTGAAACTTTACAGTTTTAACTTTTGCGCTTGAGCTTCTACACTTTAGGTTTAAAACATGAACACTAAGGAATAACAATTTTGATTAGAAGGAGTACTTGTGACCACAACGAGTGTAAACTGGGCGATATACCAAATTAACTATATAATTTGTGATTATCATTATGTTAGCTTGCGTGAAAGAGCTAGAAAAATATAATTAAGCACTTTCTTTAGAAGTAGATATTGGTTTGTTGGAAACTTTAGGAATATCACGCCTTTAAATCTCCAAAGTGCCCTATACCTTTTTGTACCTATGCGCAGTCATATAGTATACAACCTATATCATAGGTATAATGTAATGTATATTATATGTATGTAGTATTATATCTGTGGTATGTAGGTATAATGTACTTACTCACTTTCAATCAATTATGGTAAGAGTCCCTTCAAATAGTTTTACCAATGGCTGATTGAGCTGTAAGCCCATTGCCAACAGGCACCAATTTGATAAATCAATCAAAATTGCTAAATTAAATACACCAGTATGAATTTGAAACATTCCAGGAAAACCCACAAAAACCAAAGCGATAAAATAAATATATCTTTCATTTGCGATCTGTACGTGATGTTGATTTCTTTTTCGTGGTAGAAGCTATTAGCTAAACAGTATCAATTCCTCTAGAAAGAAAATAAATACAAGTTCAAAAATAGACGGCAGTAGAAGAAAATAGATTTTGCCAGTTCATTGTACTCCTAGAAAACAATACTAAGAATGAACCTTTAATTTAATCAAAGGCTTAGAAGAGCACTATTTATCATTAGGAGTGCCTACAGAGAAATGCCAGAAAAAATTGATTGATTGATTTAGTCGCTGATAATAACGTTCTTCGTTTAGTTCTTTGTGCAACCATGTTTACACCAAGAGAAATAGGGTTACGTTACCTACCATATGACTATGATGCATTATTAAAAATGTCTCCAAAATTAGAGGTATCTATTATGATTTTTTATGGGATAAACCGGTAAACGAGCAGACGGATCACCTGATGGTAAGTAATTGGCGCCGCCCATGGACACCCAAAACACCAAAGGCGTCACATGGGCGCTACCGGCATTTTAAGGGTTAGAAATTTGAGGATTGTTAGGAATTCAGAGATTGGAGAGAATGGGGAGGGGGTAATAAGCCTTCGGCAACCTCACTGACACTACGAAACACAACGTAAGCGTTGTTTCACGTCGATTTTCTGTGATGCTGTATTGTCGTGCCGGTCGTGCCGACTTATTCGTGCTGAAGCATTGGCTCGCCCACACTAAACTTGTATGTTTAGCATTTAACATAGAGGTATTATGTAGCGAAAAACAAATGAGGTATGTAAGTACAAATTATACCATTGGTACTTGAAAGTAAGAATACCCACTTTGTAAATATAATAGCACAGCATATAAAATACAGACAGTAGATCAACGCCACAGCATCTTCACACTGTTGTGTCGCAACAGTAGATGAAAGATTTAATTATATTTCATTATAAACCTCTAATTTTGTACCAAGTCTCCAAGGGTTGACGCGCCAGTTTTTCATGAGCTATAATTAGCTGTTTTGTATGTATGTGATAATTTTGTTGTGGGTATTAACTGGCTTATAAATCTGTCACATATCATATTCTAATTATACTCTCTAAGTAAATGTTAAAGACTTTTTTGGTTGTTATAATCAAATCTATTTTTAAACATTTATTAAAATGTAAGTTTAAAGCTACGAAAAGTCACTTTACAATAATAGGCTATTACATGTAATTTTGAAATGAATCTAAAATAAATTCTATAACCCTTATATACGAATATATATTACGAATATCAATAATAATTTTATCATAATTTAAAATTTCGCGCGTATTTCGCGAAAACGCGGCAAACAGCGGACGCCATGACTGTTTTGTAGTCATGACGTCATTACATCAGTATTCATTCAGTAAACTACAGCTAAGAGTAATATACCTGTTTAAGTTTATGGTTAGGTACCTACGTACCAAATTGACATTGACATGACAGCTGACACTTTTGTTTACTAGCGTAATGACGTCATTAGCATGGCGGCGACATTTCGTAGTGTTTAAAGACATAAAAACATTAAAACTTTAAACAATAAAAAAGTACATAGTTTCAATACATAAGTGCCTTATGAAGTGAAACTAATATTTCCGATTGCTTTACCTCTAAACAAACATTGTAATATACTTTTAATTTTTTTCTTATCTAGACTAAAATATCGTATTGTATAGAGACAGAGTGTGCGAGTAATAGGGAAAGATTATTCGTTTAGGCAGAAACATAATCCTTTCAAACGATTAATATCTTTCGAATCAACTTTGTTATAACGTGATACAGAAAATTATTTATATAAAACTATCGGGACCTAAAGGTCTACTAGTTTCGAGTCACAGAGGGACTTTTCATTATTTACTCGAGACTAGTAGAGTTTTCTTAGTATATTTACTTGAAAAACCTATTACAGACTTTTACAGTTAATGATGATGATCATCATTCTTCTATAATATAACGTCATCATTCAAGTTGAGAAATTTGAAACCAGTTTTATGATATACACTATTTATTTGTAAGGCCTTCATTCTTGTACGTCTATTGCTAAGACACGTGTTTACTGTTGATGCCGCTGGCGAGTGGTCCAATGAAATAAAATATTGTTCGCATTTAAAGAGCAATTTCGCTGTTACTTCAAACAACTCAAAGAACTTTTGATCGGTTCTTAAATGCTTTACAACATTTTATTTGTAGTAAAATATGTTTGATTACTACATTATTTCTTTCTTTCTTGATGTCCGTAGTAGATTTTAATGTTCTTTAGGTTGGTATTGTTCGTCGAATCAGTCAGCCTCACCTGTTAATTGAGCTGACTGTAAACCGACACATGCGTACTGCCTTCAGAACGGGTCCGCTCAAACTGTTGTGGTTCTTTCCTCAAAAGCCCACTACAGAAAGAACTGGCACGGTTCTCACACATAATCTGTTATATATATTGTCTGGACTTTAAAAGAGACAGACCTCTGAGTTTGTTTCGGCATTTCTTCTCAGAGTAGTCAGTTAGGAAATGTCGACCTCATCGTTCGCTTGATAAAATTGACGTGTAAAAGTGCTGCCTTGTAGCCTATTTGCAGAAATAAATTCACTTGTTTCACTTGTTTCACTTGATTAAGGTCAATAAACTACCCTAACATTCAATTAAAACAGAATTGACGTCATCATTATAATGAAGGATAAAAAATAAGGGTAAGTTCACAGAAAAATTTTACACAGCAGTAAAAAACAATTTAAATTACCCAAATCAACGAATCCGATAATTAAAACTTGATACAGAAAAAACCATTATGAAATCTTATCACAATATTAAATCTCATGAAGATAGAAGTTTAATCCTACCTACATTACGCGGACAATATTTTAAACTTTCAGGTTAGGACAATAAACCGTAACTGTGATGAATATAGTGGCAGTTAACCGGCCCTCGAGAAAATAGACCGCTAGATAAAATAAAATTATATTTAAGGCTCCTAGACTACACTACACTACACGCAGCTTTTGTAGGCCAGGAGTTTCTTAAATATTCAGTACACTCTGTGTAATATAGGTAGTATAGCGACATAAATATAAGATTATATCTACAGAATTAACTTAGCACGTTTCTAGACTCTGCTGGGATAATGCGGTAACATTTATGTGTCCACAATTGCTGCATAAGAAAAATTGTTTGAAATAAAAAATGAACTATAAATAAGACTTCTTCGCGCTGTACTGAATAGTTCACCAATAAATTATTGGTTTCGAGTTCTTAATAATCCTAAGTCGTCTTATTCGTTCACACTTTTTACGTAATTATATATATGTTTACTAGCTTCTGCCCGCGACTTCGTACGCGCCATCTTGTTTCTCCCATTCCCATAGGATTGTCAGGACTGTTTTCTGTCATAAGAACCTTCTCCTGATGATAACAACCACAACAAAAAAAACAGCTAAATCGTTCTAGCCGTTCTCAAGTTATGGCGTGACAATAATTTTTATATATATAGTTTATTATTAAAAATGTCAAGAAGACTACTATAGATATTGTATAAAGGAAAAAAAATCATAATAAACTTTATTATTACTGTAAGTTGCTAACCTAATCAGATTAGTAAATGCGTAATTTATCTAACAAAAGAGGCAAAGGAAAGTTAATAGCGTTCATCAGTTCCCAGCTCCGTAAACCTGAGTTAATGTAACTGTAGTTTAATAATTAAGAAGGGTAAAGTTTATAATGTCCCACTACAAAAGATTATTCCCCAGTGTGCTAATTTTAATGGACGCCATCCTCGCTTTAACTTTTATAAAGTATAAGTTTATTGTATATTCCAAAAACTCGTTAGATAAGTATATAAATGCCTAATGGGGCCTACCGTATTTTTGCTTAACATGTGGAACTAGTGTAAAACTCTCCTTCTGTGGTTGGACAAATCTTTTTCAGAGTTTTAAGTACCTTCTAAGGTTATTCAGATACCACTGACAAACGGTGAAGGAAAACATCGTGAGGCAACCTGGACTTATAATTTCTAATTATAAGTGTGAAATCGGCAACCCGCAATGAGCCAGCGTGGTGATGAATGCTCAAACCTTCTCCGTGTGAGAAGAGGCTATGCTCTTATAGGCTGTTAATGTGTGTGTCTTGTTTTTTGTTTTTATAATTCCTACTTGGAAATAGAGTATTTTGTCCAATCAGCGATATACCGCAAATGTAGGAAATTCCTACATTTGCGCTATCTTTGACCAAAAAAACGTATGCCTCCAATTCGTAAACAAACAACTTAGGGAAACTCTATTATACCTATAAATGAGTTGTTATTTGTTAAACGATTTATTAATCTAAGAATGTTTTAAGTATTCAACAAAAAGGTCAGATTTATATAGAAGCTTCTGAAGAGTTTTGCAGTTATAGACGTTTATTTTGAAAATCCTCTTTGAAGTTAGCGTTTAAACTTTTGCCTAATTTCTAGACTTTAAAATCTTTAGATATTTAGACTGACTGTGGCAGATAAACTTTTATATTAGCTGTTAAACAATAGCCACGAAAATTGTATAATGTTATACAGTCTGCCCGTCTCACTTATTTCAGTTTTCAAAGGTTGTCTACAAATAAAGTTTTCGTTATTTGTACATCCAGTGACCTTTCCTATTTATACTTTGTGCTAGTTGGTAATATCGTGTAGCCTAAGAATATAGGTACGGACTACAAAGAGCGTCTATCTTTAGTTCCACAGAAAATCCTCGTCTGATCTGAATTTAATATTGAGGGATTCGAGATAATTTCGACTTTGACGTTTAATTTTATTATACATATTTATTACTTTTATTTATTTTCGGCCGTAATCGTCCCACTGTGGGGCAAAGGCCTAAAAGCTACAATAGGTAATGATATGAAATTATTTCACGACGAAATAAAATTATATTAGTTACTCTAAAATTAAACTAAATTAAAAAAAATCGTTTCGAAATTGTAAGAAAATGTATGCATGGCTCCGTGTACACACTACACATGTGTAGTGGTACAAATACTATAAACTGAAGTATTATATTATTACTGCGTAACGATATAAAAAATTAACAAACTTACTGTTTCTTATAAGTATCAGAGTAGAGTAGACTGGGCAGTGCAAGCAGAGCGCTGGCGCACCAGACGGTGAAGAGCGCCGCGCGCGCTACGCGACGACTCAGTCTGTGTTGCAGAGGTTTCACTATCGCCACGTATCTATATAAACAATAAACATATTTAATCAGATAAAATAATAAGCAATAGTAATTAAAGACCAGCAATGCACTGAATATAATAATAACTCCTATAGTGTTATGGATGTTCAATGGTCCATGGACGGCGCTGCATCATTTACCATTAGGTGATCAGTCATATTCTCAAAAATAAGCCCGACTTAATTAATAAAATACTTTTATTTATACATATATAGATTTTAGGACATCCAGGTCTAATATTTCAAAATAATGTGCGGATGACTTTGACTCAATTCAACTTTTTATGATAGAAAAAAGGAAATTAGAAAAAGAACGTAAGAAAAAAACATCAGTTATCACTAGTTTCATCGAAATGCCCTACAAATAAATAAAAAAAATACCTTTGATATTATTTTGCAGAATAAAAAATATATAAAATATTAGGTAGGTACCTACTTTTAAAATTAGAACAAACTAAGCTCCTTGTGGAAGCAGACGTCACGTGGCAGTATATCGCAAGTTATCTACTTATTTGAACTTCTTTAATATATTTATATGCCCCCGTTATTTCCCAGCAAACCAAATAATCTTCTAGGTCAATAGAACTGGCTAGGGTCCAAAAAAGTTAGGTTTCAAAACATAATCAGCAATAGTGTTAATGCTTTTATTCTTAGTTTTAATTAATCTCTGTCAGCGAACCACTAGAAGAAAGTGCTAATTGTGACTTGCAAAAAGTAAGCTCACAGAAAAATACACTCATTATATTGTTTTAAGTCTGGTCTAGAAATGGGTATAGACTGGTCTAGAAAGTTTTATCTAGGTTTAATAAATCGATATTGGATCGTTTCAATAAACATACAATCATCGATGTTGAAGTTTTTTTTTGGCGCTTGGTATTGTATTATACTGAAAGTTACGACTACAACTAGCTATTGAAAGACTGGTTTTCTTTTATTAACCTAGCTACGAGTTTGTCAAACGTGACGACTGTGGCAAAATCAGTTTAAAATCGAGCTAATGTCCAAACAGCAACAAGTATTATAGCTGCAAAACAACACGAAAAAACAAAAACAACAGAATACAAATAGCTACAAGACACAAAATGCTCTCCATTCATAACTAAAGCGATGGGTCACTCGGGAACGTAATAGTCGGCCATATTTTACCCCATAGAGTCCACAAAGAAGAAGCGAGATTAGTGTGTCAAAAGAAGGATGACATCGATTATATCGGCACACCCTGATAGATGGTTATATTGTCAATGACAGATATAGACGGTTAAGGAACTAAGACGAAGTGAGCATAGATAAGCAGGGAGTCATGAGGAATGACGTCACTAAACTGTATTAAACTTTATGGCTGTAGTATATCTTGGATTATCATTATGTATGTAGCTATGTATATATCGCAGAAGTAATATTGTCGACTGGTATGCTGATGTTGATAACTTGAATAACTAGACTATATTGTGACAGTGGTATTGTTTTACTAGTCAGAAAACTACGATGTATAACATAAGAATTCTTATTCTGTATTGTATTACTCCTGTACATTCGCCGGCGTTTCATTCGAACAAACTTTATCCCAATAAAATGCAGACAGTATCCATTCCGGTGACTGATACACTCTTTTATAAGTTCATCTTACGTTGTATAACTAATTCATTTTAATTTATATGCTCAACTTTATGCGAATCAACCTATATGGAATGAGTCAAAAGTAAGCAATAATTACTTCACTAATGTCCAATGGGCAAACAATGTGTGTGACGAACAATATTATAATAACATAGTCATCCTTTACTATTATGAATGGGAAAGTGAATTTGTTTGTTTGTTTGTTCCGCTTTCACGCCGTAACTTCTAAACCGATTGCTTTGAAATTTTGCAGACGCAAAGTTAAAAGTCCGTATTAAATAATAGGATACTTTTATCCTGGAAAAAATGATATTCCCAAAGGAAAACAAAAGTATATGGTATAGATGGCGCTGTGTATATTGGTATACGTCACATAGGTTACTTTTTATCCTTTTGTGACGCGAGCGAAGCCGCGGGCAAAAGCTAGTATTGTATAAAGGGCTTACAAATATACTAGACGTAAATACTACTAATGTTTACTGCCAAGTTCCTTTGTTTCTATTGCTAGGGTTTAACTCACGTGTAAATTACACACGAGTAATTTTAGCTTTGTCTCTGACGTGACATTGCATAGTAGTCATGTTTAGTTTAGACAATATAATATTCTAGGTTATTAAGGTACTAATTAAATAAACATAACAAACATAACATAACATAATATTACGCCTTTTATCCCCGAAGGGGTAGGCAGAAGTGCACATTATGCCACTGTACAATGTAACACCCACTTTTCACTATTTATGTTATGAGTCCCATGTAATAGGGGGTGAGCCTATTGAAATATACCGGGCATAATTCCAGACTCCGTGCTACTATTGATATTTTACAAACAACATCACGCTTTTTATCCCCGAAGGGGTAGGCAGAGGTGTACATTATGCCACTGTACAATGTGACACTCACTTTTCACTATTTATGTTATGAGTCCCATGTAATACTAATAAATAATACTATATCTACAGCATTTAATTCTAAAGTAACAGAAAAATGACCTGTACAAAACATATCAATTTCTTAGAAAAACTATACACGACAGCTTTTACACAAACGTGGTTCTTGACACCATTGATATTGTTTTATTTTAAGTATTAACTCGAATTCGACTGCATGGTCTGTGCGGTGGCTAGGCAACTGGCTGCCGCGCAACGTGTCGCGGATTCGATTTCCGCACGGCTCAACTCTTTGTGTGATCCACAGATTGTTGTTCCGGGTCTGGGTGTCATGTGTATGTGACCTTGTAAACGCACACACGACACAGGAAAAAATCCTAGTGAATGTAATCACGGTGAATGTAAAATGTTATCCTACAGAAAATGAAATGTAATACGAAATTATTTTGGAAAAATCACACACACAGTCACACAAAAACAGACCATTAAATGTCTTGACCCCTATAAATAGAGCCATAGAATGCAGTCCCTAAAGCAGGAATCGAGGGAGTAATCATCATTAGGTATATTATTCCTATTGCTTTTTCCTTTTAACACATTATTCTAGTTATGGGGGCAAAGTGATTTTTTGTGTAGTAACGATAACTCACAGAAACCATAACCTAAATGTTTTAATACAAGCATGTTGTAGATGTAAGTTTAGTTTAGGCAATGATATATTCTAGATTATTACGGTACTAAATAGCTATTAATAAATAATACTATATCAATGTGTCAATCTAAAATAATGATGTGGATTGGGGTCGATTTTTGACCGAAACTCTATACAACTACTATCTTGCTGCCTGGCTCGTTGGCCTAGTAGTCGTAAGTGCGACTGCCGGGCAAGGGGTCTCGGTTTCGATTTCCGGGTCGGGCAAAGTATTACTGGGTTTTTGGTGGTTACAAAGAGCCATCAGACCACCACAGATGGGGCGCAACAGGGCCGATCCGATTCGGAGTCGCGGAGAACCTAACGGGTAACCGGGGCTCCGGCTCGACGTGCAGGAGAAAGAACGGGGTGGTTTTTAGTCAATAAGAGTCTGACACTCCCTCCCGCTTCATCCAGGCGGGAGTAGTCATTCGATGATTTTCCTCCCTTAAAAAAAAGCCATTGAAATTGGCAGTTAGTTGATCGAGTGCCTGTTATATGGTATCTTGCGTTTAATCACCAGCTTGGGCTTAAAACATTGGGATTCTATAATATCTAATTAACTTAGTCCGTCTCATGGTAATAAAATAAGGAGTCTTGAGTATGACCCTCAGCTTAAGCCAACTGGGACTTTTTAAATTCTTACTAACTTTGCGCTTTATTCTGTAATGGGGCTGACGAAAACTAAATATGTCACCACTGTCTTACTAAAGGAAACTTGATAAAATGAAGTCTCACATAAACAAACATCATAAACATAGTAATATTTTTATAGCACAAACATATTTTATCAATTGACCATCAATCATTTGAGGAAAACCTTGGTATTTGTTTCAGCATGTAAAGGGAAACCGGGCCCCTGAAATTACAGACGCGTGAGATAAAACTTTGTGTGGCATATGTCCATGAAAATGTTTGATCTCATACAATATTATGTTCGTATCACTTTCACATTGAATTCAATTGTCAATAAATTTTTGTCTGTACAATGTTTAATTAAAAGTAGGTAAATATAACTATTTCCTTCAATTATTTTTATCATCGATTTATTTTTAAACATTTGATAATAAAAAAGTGAAAGCAGTAGTCCACCAGTAACGGGACAAATCCAAACTACCGGCAGTCAGGGCTCCAGAGAAAGGAATTTCCGGACAATACGCGCCGTGTCCAGAAGTACTGCTTTCTGTTTCAGGCCCTTGACCCAACCATCTAACGCTGGGCTTTGTTTTTTTTTTTGAGCAGGGAAAATCATCGAATGACTGCTCCCGCCTGGATGAGGCGGGAGGGAGTGTCAGACTCTTACTGACTAAAAACCATCCCGTTCTTTCTCCTGCACTTCGAGCCGGAGCCCTAGTTACCCGTTAGGTTCTCTGCGACTCCGAATCGGCATCGGCCCTATTGGGCCCCATCTGTGGTGGTCTGATGGCTCTTTGAGGCGCGCGCGGAACGCGGCGCGCCGTACGCTCGGGTAATATATAACTAACGGATAACTTAGTATTATGTTGATACAAAACATGACAAGTACTTAACACATTTGATTACTCAAACAATTCCTTCGTAATGATTTTGTGCCGAAAACAATTGCTAAGTATTTTATTCAAGGACTGAGTACGGCGGCTGCACACAACAACAACAGCTATATTGAGTTACGAATCTGAATAGAATAAGTGCAATGACCCACATAAGACAGGATTGCAATTTATTGTTACTCGAGAGCAATAAATCAAATGTAGATAAGGCATTTAACAACCATTCCTTGCATCTCATTTTGAAAGGATGAGTACATGAAACCTTTAAATGCTTG